GATTTAATCAAATCTCTGTTCACGATCATTCAAACCTTTTCGTGTCTTCCTCACAGATGATTCTTCACCATTATCCTTCCAGGTTTTAATACTTCGTTGAATAGCTGTTAGGCCAAACCGCAGATCAATTCATGTTTAAGCTACTCGCCTTTATCTACTAAAAAACGCTGTCAAACCTAAAATGAGGACGTGGGCCCAGCTAGTAAATAAAAACATGTGAATCACTGCACTGATAATGTAACAGATAATTCCTTGATTAATTCCAGAATTTGGGTTGAATATATGTTTATATAATTTTGTGTCTTAGTAAGTATGAAATTAAGACAGACACATTAATCATTTTTGCTTCATGAATTATTTTATTGCTATTGCGCTGCACACATTCACCCAAATGATAGATGTCACTTGCAATTACTTTGGCATAAGCTGAGGTAAGAAGTCCCACACACATAAGAAAAACAATCCCTTTGCAGCACTGTGTAAAGATGCACAGTTTACAGTAAAGATGCACAGCTTACAGCAAAGATGCACAGCTTACAGCACCACTGAAATATTCTGATTTGTTTTTACGTTGTCATGAAAAGCCATTCCAAGCCCTGCTGAAGAAACATATGCATATATGTCTTCTCCACTCCTTTGATTGCACCTTTGAACCTCCAAGTTTCTTATTTTGCTGCTGATGTCGCTGAGAAACCTTTGCAGTGTTTTTACAGAGAGCTGCCCGATTCCTATTTCGCTCACAAATGTTTAAGAGAAATAGAAAAAACAAAAAAGCACCACAAGCGAACACGAACAAAGAAAAGAAAAGATTCCCAGAAACACTGCTTGACACGAACACATTCACGCACAGTTTTTAGGCGAACGTTCAACCTGCCGGGAAGCTGCTGTTACTGCTCACTCTTCCAGAAAGCACACAAACTAAAAAAGATTATTATATATAAAAAACAAATGAAAAAAATCTGGATATTTAATTTAAATAAATTTAACTTTGTTTGAATTAGTTTCACATTTTCATTCACGTTGATTCACAGTTTGCGGATATGGGCGTGTGATGGATTGGACCAGCTCAGGCACACTTCTTCTGGCACCATGTCAGCTGGCTTAAAGCCCCATTGGTGACTCTGACTGAGCTGACAAACTCTAACGCTGCAGACAGAAGCGTGACAGACAGTCCCAGTCAATCAGTCAGTGTACTGGTAACTTTCAGACACAAGTTTGCCTTCTTCCACTTCCAACCGGATCAACAGGCACTTCTTGGTGGCAGGGGACACTGGTGGGACAATAGTGGTGTCCGGGGCAATGGTGGGCGTGGTGATGGCGATATCCCGGACAGGGGTGGGTTCGGTGGCTTTCGGTTTGGCTGGCACGTATCGTGTCGGCGGCAGGTGAACGTCTGCGTGCAAGTAAGGACTTGGATTGGTTGGTTTGTTTTTAGAAATCTGAGCAAAAAAGAGGCTTGATTTTAGTAGGATGAAAAAAATTAATCAAGCATGAGAATGCTGATGTGTGTGAAATGTTACTGGTTTGGCTCGCTTTTGATTGATTGATTGATTTTTTTAGATTGATTTTTTTTATATGTTAACGTTTTGCTTTATTTACCTCTCTGTTGGTTCCTACTGACATCACTGATTTACTGGATGACCAAGGCTACGTCCACACGTACACGGGTATTTTTGAAAACGAAGATTTTCCGTTTTCGTTTATAAAAAAAAAATCCCGTCCACACATAAAAGCCATAAACGAAGGAAAACGCTGCTAGGAACATGCCAAAGCAGCAGGTGGCGCTATATTCCTATCTGTGTAGAAATGTTGGCCAATCAGAAGTCTAGAAGCCTCGGTGGGAAAGAGTAAACAAAGCTGGGGCATCGAAGCAGAACCGAGTCGTATGTGTGGAGGGACAGTAACTGTGTGTGTATATGTAAGCATTTAAACACTGCAGAGAGTAAAATTAACAGTAACAGTATTGTAGAAATTCATTTCACCGAAACAATAACAGTGTGACGTCAAAAAGTGCGCACACCTTTGACGCTGCGTTTTCTCCGTTTTCCTCGTCCACACGTAAACGCAACTTAGTTTTTGAAAATATCCACCCTGGCAGGAGTTTGTAAAAATCTCCGTTTTCAGTGACCGAAAACGCCGTTTACGTGTGGACGAAAGGTGCAAACGCATAGAAAAATCTGTGTTTTCAAAAATACCCGGGTACGTGTGGACGTAGCCCAAAATTGAGGCCTTTTTGGACATGTGAAATAGTCACATTGATCAGCAGTAATGCATTATTGGATGACAAAGCTTTGTTAGTGGTGTATTAGAAAGAAATGAATCACTTTATATTCAGTGGTTTTAAAGCCAGAGCTCAGATCCCACACTGCGGCTTGGAGGACAATATTCAGTTTTTGCAATTTTAGCACCAACAATATTCACACTAAAAAAAAGGACGAAAAAAAATCATCACTCAACTATTCCTGAGTAAAGAACACGATAAGGGATCATGAGCCAGAACTATTGGGAACCACTGTCTTTAGAAGATACAGATTTTTGATTTTATTAAAGGGAAATTTGTACAGAATTAGTAAAATAAAGAATATTATACACTTATATGTCAGTAGACAACAAAGGTTCTCACCTGATTGGCGCATTAGGCAGCTCATTCTGGAGACAGAGCAGACGCAGATATTAGTACAAGCACTACATTTAGATAATACTGTATTTTATTATTATTTTTCGATGCTCCCTCTGCTTACATACCTCTGCTCCTCGCCCTCCAGCAGCTTGCGGTAGGTGTTGATCTCGATGTCCATGGCCAGCTTGATGTTCAGCAGCTCTTGGTGATCACGGATCAGTGAAGCCAAGTCCTGCCTGGCCCGCTTCAAAAAATCTTCCAGCAGAGCGATATTTTCCCGGGCCTTGTTGAGATTTTCCTCACCCTCTTTTCTAGCATCATCGAGGTCATTCATGAGGGCCTCTTCCTGATGGGAAAACAGAGATAAGACAACATCAGCAGTGAATAGATGGACAATGTGCGTGCTGACTAAATACTGTCCAAATGATGTATCTAAGGGGAACCAACCTTCCTTGTGAGACTCTCCAGGTCTGCTGTGAGCCTCTGGATGAGACGCAGCAAGTCTGAAATCTCCCTCTTTATGTCACGCACTTCTTGCTCGCGCTCTCCTACAGTTTGGACCAGAGATTCCATCTAAAGTGGGAACAGGGAGATCAAATACTCAAATCATCTGCGGTAAGACTGAATGTCATATAAGCAATTATAGAAAAATACTTTTCTCTGGTTCCACTGCTCAGCCTCTTCCCTGGTGCGGGAAGCCATGGTAGCATATTGATTCTCAACGGCCTTGATGAATTGGTCCATGTCCAGAGAGCGTTTGGAGTTGTCCTGTAGGACCACTGTTTTGTTCTGGATGCGTGACTCCAGCTCCTTGATCTCCTGTTGGGGCAGACATGCAGACAGTGAGTTATTGTGGAGACAAAGAAAAAGACCATTTGTAGTTACCAATACTGTTAATTCAGTGTCACTAACTGTATTTTCATCACTTTAATTACCTCATCAAATGCGAGCCTGAGGAAGGCCATTGTTCTCATCAGGTCCTCAAGATCCACAGCCAGAGCTACTGCCTCCAACTGGCCTTCGTCTACTTCCTGTAACACACACATTACATATACATACATGTGCCTCCAGTGACGACACAGTGATGAAATGAAACTTTAAAGCTCACAGTACCTTTTTAGACACAATAAAGTCGCTCTCAAGGTCACCTCTCTTGTGCAACTGGTCTTCATACCTGAAACCAATTCCAAATAAAAAGGTGAAAAACTAATTATACTGAACTGATGAAGTTACAAGTTTTATTGCAACAATCAACATGTTCAGTAAAATCAGCCGCCCTGTGATTCGCTGACCTTTTCTTGGTATCGTCCACCTCGTCCTGGATCTCCTGCAGCTCAGGCTGCAGTTTGTCCTGGTCGGATTTCAAGCTTTCGATCTGCTGCTCCAGCTCGTTCTCCAGCTGCTTCACAAGATACTCAACCTTCCCGTTGTAGTCCTCCTGCTCCCTGAGGATCTTCAGCTTTGTCTCAAGTCGTCTCTTCTCATTCTCCAGGTTTTTCACCTACAAGACACAGACAGACAACGTGGGTAGGGATGCATCACAACAACGTGTCTCTGTGGAAACCTTAATCTCCATACTGCACGTGATGATGGCGACTCACTGCTGACCTTAGACGTTGAAGTTTTCTCATTTTTCCACAAGGTGGCATCCAACGTGCAGGCTAACTCTGATTATTTGCATAAGAAGAAAATGAACTTGTTTTTTGTGGCCTCCGGTAACATAATTGGTTTGAGCCGACAGGAAACACTATTCATGGGCCATTTGCACTTTTTCAAATAGCAGTAAAAGCACTTAAAAAGAAAAATAATTATAAATGAAAAATCCAAAAATTAATAATAATTAAAATGTAAAAAACAAAGCGCGCAGACGCAGACTTGTAACATTTAAATATAACAAAAAACATAATCCTCGAAGACGGAGACGGAAGGACAAATAAACAGGATGTTTTTTTGTGTGCGTGCGTAATTGATTTATTTTGTTCTCTGCTTATTCATCAGATTTGGATTTATTTACTTATTATTCAACTGTTGTTACCCAGTTAAGCATTTTTTGGCATATAAACCAAAAGGTTGCACTATGACAAATAAGAACAAGAAAGACAAAAACAACAACCCAATAATAATAATAATAATAATAATAATAATAATAATAATAATAAACCTTTTCAATGAGCGCGACGAACTTGTCATTGAGTCCAACCAAGTCGTTCTTCTCCTTGGATTTTCCCGATGAATAGTCGGTCGGGACGCTTCTGAGCGGCTTCGTGCTGCTGGGGGAGTAGGACTGGCTGCTGTAGTCTCTTGGTTTGGACATACTGAAGCTTGAAGCTTAGAGCTGGAGTGTGGCTGAACAGGTGAGGGGAGAAGGCGCCTGCAGCCCTGCAGATCACCTTTATTTATAGGTGGACAGGTACAACCCCTCACCTGCCCCAAACTCTGAGTGCGTCCAATCACGAGAGGACAAGTGCGATATTAAATGGAAAAGTCAACGTGAAATACTTGAATTTCGACTCTAAACCAGTCTGTCCAGGAGCACCGGGGCCAATGGCGTCTCTGGGGGGCGGATTCGTGCGAAAAAACAAGTATAAAAACTACCTGCATCCTCCATCAGGCGACTGTCCGGCCTTAGACGCTCGGTGTCAGTGTCTGCTCTCTCTCACTCTCTCATCCAGCAACGATCATCATGCCTTCAAACAGCGCTGCCAGCATGTTTGGTGGAGCCGGGGGAAGGGGTGCCAAGGCGTCCGTGTCGACCCTGGATGGACTGCGCAAAGTGCTGGGCAACCAGACAGAAAAAGATTCGGCTCCCATCCACAAAGCTGCTGCCAAGCCCGTAGCCTCCCAGGCTCCGAGCGCCCCGGAAACTCTCGTCGCTCCCGGTGACGACAAGCAGACACTGCGGACCCTGAACAATCGGCTGTCCGGCTACCTGAACAGAGTGAAGCAGCTTCAGGAGGAGAACAACGATCTGCACAAAGAGATCGACGACATCCTGGCCAAGAGGAAAGTACCCGAGGGGCGTGATTGGGATGAAATCCTGCAACCCCTGGATAACCTCAAAAGGGAGGTGGGTCAGATTTCTTTCTTTCTTTCATTCTTGGAATTAACATGCAAATATATGTCTGACTATACTTTCTTTAATGTAATCTTAAATTCTAACTATTAATGCACATCCTCATTTGATCAGATCAAAGACATCACAGATGACAATGCAAAGCTGCTGCTGCAGATTGATAACAGCAAACTGGCAAATGAAGACTTCAAGAACAAGTGAGTGTGAATGTGTCCAGACAAGGGCTCAGAAAATAAAAGACACTTTGTAACAGCAACATAGCATGTGTAGCGTTTGTAAAGTTTGAAGCCAGGCTCGTTCTGTTGATGCAGGCTGGATGATGAGAATAAGGCATGCAAAGAATTAGAAAAGGACCTGGAGAATCTGAAGAGGGCCAAAGATGATACCAAACTGACCTGCGACCAGACGAGGGAAGAGATCAAAATGGTTAATGATGAGCTTGAGCGTCTCAAGAGTGAACACAAGAAAGTAAGGAGGAAAACCATGTTAAAAGTCACACGCTCAGTGCTGTGTCGTGTGAAACTTGTAACTTGTGTTTGTCTTGCAGGAGGTTGATTCTCTGCTTGAGAAGATCAAGGACTCAGATGTGACGGTGGAGATTAAGTCCCAGGACAACAACCTGAGTGATGTTATCCAGAGTGTCCGCAGACATTATGACAAAGTGGCTGAGAAGAACCTGAAGGAGGCAGAAGAATGGTACAAAGAGAAGGTATGGAGGATTAGAGCTGGGAATGATGTGCTTCCTTGTCTCAGTTTATCTCACTCTTTTCATCATATTATTTCTCCCCCAGTTTGAAACCATCAAGGTGGAAGAGGCCCAGAACAATGAGGCCTTGGAGTCTGGAAAGAGTGAGCTCAAAGATCTCCAGAAGCAGATGCAAACTTTGAAAATTCAGATTGAGACTAAGAACAACAAGGTAAGCGCACAAGAGTGAATACAAGACTGTTCAAATGCAGTACATTACAAAAGAAATGCAACACAATCTCAATATCAGGACCAATATCGAGTATTCCTAAGGTTTGTTTTTCATTGGTAGCTGCGCACTGTGGAGCAAACCCTGAGAAACATCAAAATGGAGTATGGTCATCGCCTGGAGCCATCCAACAAGATCGTTCTTGGGCTGGAGCAGGACCTCAGAGACGTGAGGGAGCAGGTGGAGCTGCAGCTAGACGCCAACAAAAACCTGCTGTCTGTCAAGCTGAAGCTGGAGAAGGAACTCGAACAGTACCAAGAACTTCTTTCTCGCTTATTTAATGATGTTGAAAGGTAAGGACGACGGCAGATGCATCCTGTTTACTTTTAAACCTGTTGTGGGTATAAAACAGGTTTGCCAGCTGGCAGAAGCAACAGATTGTCTGTTTAGTCATGTGGTGCTTTACCTCCATACATAATAAGTAAAACACAGCACTTTTACCTAAAGGACTGACATCTTATATGAAACCAGATCTTTAGATCTGCTGTAATTTGTTTAATTTAATTCAGTTAGTTATAGAAAATGAAAATAAATCTTTAATAAATTTATTATTTATTTCTGGCGAGGGCAGTTGGTAACAATATAGCTATAAAATAAGTAGTTCAGAATGAAAACAGAGGCACTATTCTCTTTATATGTCTGTAATTTCCTGGTAAGGGCTGCTCTAGCCTGCAAATCTTTACCCAATGTAGTTTTACGCTTCAACATTAAGGGAAAACACCATGTGAATGTTGGCACTGTGTGCTTATTTCCCACTTGGTGTGTTAGCTCTTTATGCTTTTCTTCCCTGACAGCGCAGAGTTTGCTTTAACGGATGCAATACCGCAAGGTGAGTTGCCAAGAAAAAAAAAAGTTAAATCACAATGAACGTGTCTATCACGCATCCACGTGCCGAGACCTGATCAGCAAGATTCATATCGCTAAACAAGACTTGGGTCAGTTACTGCCTATGATGCTTTCAGTTTGGTCTGACTCCACTCCGACAGGAAACAAAGTAAAGATGCCAGAATCTGACCCTTGTCTTTCTTTTAGGACTGTAAATGTGAACAAAAATAGGAAATTACAGAAAAATAGTAAATCAAAAATAGAAACCCAAATGCTACCTTCACATCACTGTGGGCTGAGTTAACAGTTTTGGGAAGTATGCTTACTGACTTTCTTGCCAAGAATTAGATGAGAAGGTACTTACTTTAGTCCCTTAAGTATAACTAGCAGACAGTTAGCTTAACTTAGCTTAGCAAAAAGAAAATAATGAATCATCTACTTAGATACATACATACACATACATATACATATATATGTATGTATGTGTATATATATACATATATATACATATACATAAATAAATAAATATATAAATATATATATATATATATA